TTCTCAGCGGTTATAATGGCGTGTCACAAAAAGCCACCCATGGATCTCATGTCGTACGCAGATTGAGATCTGACGTATAGCTTCAAAATGCAGTAACAATACCTTGCGCCAATCTAAGCTGTATAATTCAATTCAAACAGTGAAAAATGACGCTATAAGTCTCAGCAAGTGAAATAACGAATTGTAGGCAATAAAATCGAATTAGGTTCTCACCTGACAGCTCGATATGACCCGTCAAGGTGCGGTGGCATGCGTTGGTTGGCGCATCTTCGGAAGCATTGAATCATCAGGGTAAATGCGGTGAAGCGCTTTACACAAGCCAAATCACGAGGCAAGAGATATCGCAGGGCATCCATGTTAGAGCATAGCAAATGAATTTGACAACTCAAGCAATATGCATTAATGATATTTCACAAATTGCAGTCCCTCGTCCGCTGAAACTACCTAGCCCAGGCAGCGCTGATACTGGTGCGTTGTGGCGCTGAGCTGCCTGTTTAGCGGCTGAGCTCTGCATAAGATACTACAGTGCCGCAGCACCCAGCACCCAGCACCTTCTCCAACCTGACCTGACGGGAGGTGGCAGACTGGCTGTGACTGCCTGCTTCCCCGCCCATCCCGTCCCGATTACTCACTGGCCACTGATATGAGGCTTCCGCTACTTCTCCAACTTCACTCCATCATTTTTGTTTCTGCAACACCATCGATACTCTGTATCTTCACTTTCTCTTCACTTCATCCAGCTCCGCTGATCGCTTTTGTTGCGTCGTCTTCGCTCTTTTGATCGTCCGTCTTTCTAATCTACACCCCTCCTTCATGATCGCGAGATAGCGATAAGCTCATGGCCCACGGCTATCATGAGTGCTCCCGAAGTTGATAATACCCACGATGGCGTCACCATCCAACATCCCCCGGCATCAAAGGACACAGAGCCTTCTACAGAGGCTCCTATACAATCAATAGAGACTCCTCTCAAGTTTCGAATACCTGAAGATTGCCGCACCTTCTCGCCTTTTCCTCGCTTGCCGCCAGAGATACGTGCCCAGATATGGCAAGCTACCCTGGAGACTCCCGGCATGCACTTTCTCAAAATCGACACCGACTGGCACCCGGCAACAGGGCTTGGGAAATGGTGGCTCAAAGAGCCGATGTTCCTCCACGCAAGTGCTGAAGATCACGATGATGAGGCTGATTCTATGGCGCTTGAGGTCAGAAAGGAAGCTCGCCCTACTGCAAAGGTGTATGGTACACTGAAGCCTCTCTACCCCACTCCCCAAGCCGACATCTCTTATTACACGAATCTCCATCAACAGCTCGCCAAACTTTCCGTCACATGCAATGAAGCTGCCGCTGTAGCCAAGTCCCTTACAAATAGGTCTACGACTTTCCGCCTTAACACTGGCCGGATCGTCAGCCTCAACTCCCTCTCGGATGTCATCTATCTTGAATACGTCCCACCTGAAGTCTACGAAGACAGCATACGCTTCAACAAGGTTCTGAACTGCTCAGGGCTTGATCAAATTCGAAAGGTCGCGGTCAGATATTGCCACAAATGGTATGAGAAACAATCGCCCAGGCGATGTCCAAATTGCGGCCTAATCCACAGCACTCCTGATAGAGTCAGGTACCCGAAACACTTGTACAGGTTCTTGGCTCAATATCTTCCCAACCTGGAGCAGTTCTTCTTTGTCGATTACCTCATCCTACGCAAATCCGACCTCAATGCTGCCACAGATCGCTACGGGTTCCAAAGAGACTTGAAAGGTAAGCGATAAATGTCAGGGGCTTGAGACAACGACTGACCTCATTCAAGCGAAAGCAGGCACATGCAGGTTCGAGGGCGGGAACAGAAGCTACTTCGAAGCGGATACGCAAGATTGGACTATCAGCTCTCGAGTTCTTGAAGTCAAATCCTGGCTACAGGAGAACTTTGTCAAATACGCCAAGTCGAGCAACCTGAGCGCTCACAAGAACCCAGAGCAGGTCGAGTTTAGTGTTCTTGCTTGCGAATGGAATGTTGAACCACCGTCAGAGCCAAAGAAGGCATTGGCGACACCGGTTAAGAAAGGAAGAAATAAGAGAGCCAATAGCGAGGAGCACACTTTATCAAGGACGAACCGACGAGGATCGACGCCAACGGTATCGCGTCCTGTTGCCGATAGCCTCCCACTCGACGTGGCTATCAACTTCCCGTTCGTCTTTGACGCAGCCGGCAGCAACAACTTTGAATTCACCTTTTCTATGTCCCTATAATGACTTTGCATGGTTTTTATTTGGCTTTTGCGAGGAGTTGAGGCTAGCACTGAGATTTGGGCTACAAGAGCCAGCGCTTTGATGCTACAGGAGGACGACGAAGCACATCAACACCAGAGTGCTCAGCCATGAATTATCGTTAAAGAGATTAGATTAACTTAGAGTATAAATTTCCCCGATGAACCGGCACCTTGAATCCGAATTCTACGTCTACGACTTACCCTACGAAGTTGCTTCTGTAATTCCTCATTACCTGTATTGCAGAGCCCGCTCGAAAATGTTCAGTAAATCCCCATCATGGTGAACTCGTCCAACATATCCTTTGTTATCCTATTAATCTCCATCAATTTGCCTGGCCGCGTCGTCCACCCATCCTCCACCTCTCCAAGCTCAGTATTCAGCATATCCCGATACCGCTGATTAGTCAACAGACCTGTCCAAGCGCTTTTACTTGACCATGCACTAGGGAGTCCCATGAGAAGATTCATCTGACTCATTATGTGGCGAAACATCTCGGAAAAGAGGACGAATTGGGTTGACGGCTCGATCAGAGGTACATCGGCAAACGACATGGGAGCCGCATCGATGAGATCCTGGTGTGGATCTGATATTGAGTTGAATATGATCTTGAGTACAACTTCAAGATGTTTGATGAGCTGCACGTAGCAAGATATTATCAGAAACATAGTCGGTGAGTCGAATACAGGGGGAAGCTCGGGTGTAGTGCTTCCGGATGTTGGTGTCGCTTCACCCGACGAAGAAGCTATCGGCTCAGGAGATTCCGTGTTTGCCTCCAGGGATAGCATCATCCTGTTTTTATGTGGCTTGCGACCTTGGCAATACACAGTCCGTATACCGAGCTGCCGATGCAGTGTCTTGAGGACAACAAGGTACTCTTGCGCCGCCTTCAAAACCACCTGGATATTCTGATACCCATTCTGCCTCTCCCGATCTTCACACACAAACGCACTCAACCGAAAGTCATTCTCAAGCTGCGACACGAATTCCCATCCCCGGTGGATATCGACATTAAGTTTCGACAACTTCTCGAAAACCTGCATACTGGGGACTATGATCTTTTGCTCGATCTCGGGTGGATCAAGCTCCGACACAGAAGGCCACGCATCCATGGGAAACGGGAGACTTTCAGGCGTATACCCGCAAAACGGATCAAGATCCCAAGCTGTGTCGTCCAGTAGCGCTTGAACAAACTGCATATCCTCAGCAGGCCTGTGAAGCACCATGTCCTTCTTTGGCGGTCTGCCGACGCGTCGTTGCAGGCCAGCCTGACATGTCAGGCCGAGACGGGTGCAGCGGGCGCATGAGGGCGAAGAGAGGGACCGTGAGCAGCGCAGCTTCTGCCGGCGACAGCGCTCACATGCTGAGCGAATTTGGTTCGGGTGCGTGTGCATTGTTTGTTTTGGTGATGAGTTTTGAGAAAACGGGCTGATGAGTGAGACGGATGGAGGAAACGGGCTCGGAGGCTTTTTGTGGGGCGACCGGAGGCTTTTGAGGAGTGGAGATGCGGGAGGGACGGGAGGGAGGCGGGGCCGGGGTGTTTAAGCTTGGGATGTGATTTGTTCGATTCATAATTAGATGGCGGTTTTGGATGTGAGTGTTTGGATTTATCACATTATCCGTCATTAAAGGGTCTTTGCGTGAGGAAGTTGTTGACGTGGCAAGGACGGCTGAGAGTTGTTGAGCTGTGAGTTATTGGTAGAATTGAGTTCTGACGGTTGTTCAAACGTTTGAGTGCATCATTTCCCGTCGGTGTGAATGTTTGGAGGACTGGGCATGAGTGGAAGCGGATGGGCAACCTGAACTGTGATCTCTGATATCTGCGGTCGTTTCAAAATTGGAAAACAGAACTTGTGTGTGTTTGGCTGCTTCTCTTCTCTCACTGCTCCAAGTACGTGTACAGAGACTGGAGTGTGAATTGCCCAAAGTTGAAGTTTTCGGGCTGTGATGTGATAGATGCGATATCATATCTGATACCTCACGGGAGCGTGCTTGAATACACCACAACTCCCGCCGACACAACACTCCGCCACCACGGCAAGGTATGCCACCTCATCAAACATAACTCAACATTTAGGACACATGATGTTTTCTCTTTTCTCTTGGCTCATCAAAAATTGATGATGTAATAGAGAGCCCGGACTTGTTGCCCAGATATATAACCTCTTCTTCTTCTCGATTTCATTTCTGTTCTTCAATTATCTCGCCCCGGGCTTCCCTCGCGGTTGTGCTGGGGTAACCCCCTTGTGACGATGCTCTCGGTCTCTGACCTTGGTGCTGAGTCTTTTGTTTTACCAGATGTTTCAACTGCGACTTTCTCTACCAAGAGGAGTTAAAGTTTAACACGGACGGTTGACGAAAGACAGCTGCGGAAAGCTGTTGGTCTCTCCAGAGACCACCCGAAGGTTCGTTGATGGTTTCTTCCAGTTTCCATCTTTTGACCTGACAAGTTTAGCTCCGCCAAGGTGAGTCACCATTCTTCTTGAGGGATGGGGTGAGGGGGCTTGTTCATTCAGCCCCCGAACACACTTCACGCGCCCATCACCCTCGAAGATACACTGATGACGGGGACTATGCTCTGTCATAGCTTTCAACTCCTTGTCATCACTCACCCTGGTAAGGCTGAGGTTCTTCAAGTCCCACTCTGGTAATGTCACTTGTCTATATCGTCCTTCAAGTCAGGAACTCCATGCGTTCCATGCCTGAGACGGATGATTAAGAGACTTTACAAGATGACAGACTGCCATCGACAGGGACAAATCATGGTATGTTAAAACTTTTACTCTCTTTGCATTCACAATATCTAATTCAACACAGGACCCAGAATCCTGGCGGACTAGGCTCAACTACCTGTTGACAAGTATCGAGACCTTTGATGCTTACCGACAAGCAAGATCGGCCGAGGACGTTGGAAAGTGGCAAACTGTTACTGATTGGGCGCTCATGTCCCAAGGTGGTCACAACACCGGCCCCCATACAGACAGCCACGGCATGGGCACATGGATCACAGTGTCCAGTACTTGTAAGCATCTGATGAGTCTTCTTGTTGTTGGACCTCAAGAAGAAGCACGATGCCGCACCTGGACCACCGGGAGTGCGGGCACCACAAGTTTACCAGCAACACACTTTCTGGCATGGGCGTTGGGAGTTGTTTTGTCCCAGCTTATCATTGCAGCAAGTGGCCTCTGGCACCCAGTCAAACATAGCCTTCTACTGTGTGGCCACAACGGGGAGACGACCAAATGGCCCCTGGGACTCGCCAAGCCCTATTTAGACCTCAACAGCAACGAAGTACTGTTGGCTTGGGTCGGCGAAGTCTCGTCAACAGTCTCACCAACCCAGCCCAGTACTGAGCACCGCTACCGACCAAGCACATCCACCATGTCTCTCCCTTGCTGAATTGCTTTTGTCGGTCCTTGCATTGCTGCCTCGGCCACTTCACAGTTCACTACTTAGATCTCAGCTGCCGAAGGGATGCCTACTTCTCAAGTGAGGGACACTGGTCCGTTCAAGGCTATGCCACCTACTGCATGGACAGAAGACCGCCGCAGTCCCAAGTCTCGTCTACATATCATATGAGAAACCACAATATGGCTTTAACCAGTGTGGCGTTGATGAAGCTTTACATCGAAGGATATGAATCCCAGAGCCGTTTCCGGCCCGTGAGTCCTTGATAAAAGGCAACCAAGACACGAGAGATTGTGAGAAGCACCACTGCCCTCGGTATCTGATCCAAGTACCTCGCAGGCATCGATTTGTGTACTAAGTGTCGGCAAAACAAGATCCCTCCGCTGGAAGAAGAGGAACCAAAGCGATCCATCTTGATCAAGTCGAGATACAAAGCGGAAATCCAGCGGGCCAAGTAGCAAAAATATACAGCAGCCGGTTCTGACCCCTTGAAGCTCTTCGGTGAGCACAACCTCTCGTCAAGCTCAGGGCGTTCATCCCCCTCTGACCAGAATGAGTCTGCAGTTTCATGATGGAGAATCAAGCTCAACACCCATAACGGTGCAGCTTACCGGGAAGCCCCTGTTTCAGACCAGAATGAGCCTGCAAGCTCGAGCACTCAAAAAGTCCGAATTTCAGCGGATGTATAAGGCATACCCTGGGCTGCTACAGTCAAAGAGTCTTCTTGAACATGATCAGACAGATCGAGGAATTTGAAGTTCTGATAGTCGACATGATCAACGGAGACACCGACACCAACGTTGGCACTTCGTGCCCGGTACCTCGCAGTACGAGAGCTGCTCCTACGTGATACGAAAACGCAAGCACAAAGTTTCAAAGTACGCCACAGGCTCATGCAACAGGAGAGTATCAAGTACAACGACTTTATGCAATACATAACATCAGGACAAGTATACAATGGCGATAACGACTAGCACGAGTACGAGATCGGAGTCTGGCACTTCTCGGTCGGCATGGCGTCGCAAGGCTGCCCTTGAAGACTCCTCCCATTCCAGCCATTTCTCAGCAGCACAAATGTTACCGAATAGATGCTGCTTACATGTTGTATGAGCCCACCCTGCATTGCTATCACAGAAGAAGGGACAATGGTTTACCCAAATTCAATCTCAAGACCTTGAGAACAGCATTCGGAAAGGCATCACAAAAGACATGGACGTACAGGAGACCCTACAATTTGGTTGAATGGAACGTCGAGAAGAATTACGAACACGTCCTGGAACGCATCGATGACATTAAGGCTGGGAGAATCTGGATACTACCTCTGACGACGAGGATGTAGAGATTATCAAGTCTTCCCCAGCAAACGTCCTCTAAGCTGTCACTTCGGGACGCTCCATCAATTGCATTTTGGGGAGACCCTCACGAGCAACCTAGGTTCAGGTCAGACCAGTGGCTCTCCGAAAAGGAATTTCTCTTCTTTTAGAGCTTATTGCCTCCAATCGTGAGCCGGGGTGCGGATTAGAGTAGAGCCTGCCCATCTACCGCTCCTACAACCTCAAACACAACAAGGCGGCGAGGCTCGTCCACAGCCTGACATCGAACAAAACGCTGAAGAGCCTGGGTTTCTCTGCCGTCTTAGCAACAGTCTACAACATCTTCTCAACAGTTTCGGAAGACTTGTCATTGGTGTAGAAGACATGATCCCAGCCACCGTGTAAATTTATTCACAATGCTGTCCGCCTCACCAGGTTCGCCATCCTACAGTACGGTCGCTGGAAGTACCAGCACTTCGATGGACGCCTAAATGGGACAAAAAAGATTTCGGTAATCTTGACAATCCGTGGCTCAAAGGATCCCAATCTGGTAAAGACGAATTGCTGCAACTCTCCAGACGGGCATACGTATTGTCTCTCGTACCTAGGCCCTGCAAAGTACCCGAACCCAAGCCTGCCGGCAAGATCGTTGGGAGATTCTTTGCCCATGCTTGCCCTTCCCTGAGGTATTCCCCTTCAAAACCCTGCACAACAGACTGAGAGTCGGCGAGTCCGATTAGGCTCGTGTCCTAACTGTGAGGAAATGGTATCAGCACGGGCGAATGGAGGCTTTTCGAGACGATCGATGACTTTTTCAAGTCTCACATCGCTTCAACTGTCGTCACCGCACGATCTCAGCGACGTTGAGATCGATGAGAAATCATCCGTTCAATAATCAGTCGTTACCAGCTGAGTGTCAAAGGTAGTTAGAGTCATATTTCTACACACCCCTTTCGCGGGCCCTCTCCCCAAAAGGTGTCAAAGGTGCATCGAAGCTTGGGACTGGTTCCTTGGAGCAAACGAAGGAGCAATTCAAGGAGCTCATTGACGAGATGATGGCTCTACAGTAGAGCATGTCCCTCAATGAGCACTCCCACCTCTCGGCGACTGCGCTGAAGTCATGAAGGTCGAGTATATTGACCCACGGAAACGACCGTACGGAAAACCATCCTAATGGTTGCCATATAGAGAGAGGTACAGAATCCCCGGGAAGAGCGACGACATCTGGGCATTCGGGATTTCACTTCTCGGGATGATGCGAGCGCTCACCTATCATCACAATCAAATGGCAATGGAAAAGGAGATTGAAGCCCTCCAGGCGGCTTTCGTCGAGATCTCCAAGATATACGCCCGCCCAAATAAATCTATATTGGATTGTTTAGTCTAGTCCAGACTCGGAGAGTTCTCAGGACGAGGACGCTGCGGTGGCCCACGCTGGTACGCCCGCCATGTCAGGATGGACAAAACCCTCGCTCCATCAGGAATGAGCTTGCTTGTCTTGACCTGGGCACGATATAATTGGCTTGTTCATCAATGAATCCACCTGCAAAGAAACCTCATCTCCGCGATTCAACTGCCATCCTGTTCTACGATAGCTTCGTTCGTGACCAGTCAGATGACGGCAAGAGATTCGCCAGACTGAGAAACCAGGCACCCCAGAGAGAAAAGCATCCAAGGAGGCAATCGCTCGCTACAAAAGAGCCAACAAAAGCAACCCCATCAATATACTGAATATCGGCATTTATAAAGATAACCCATTTCCTGCATGTCTTGCAGACCAGATGGATTACAAGCTGATAGACCTCTTGCGCACTGATAATGGCAAGCTTGAAGAATCGCTTCTTTATCAGTCTCTCACCCAGCTGCCTTGACATACATCAATGTGGCTGTGGCCGCGGATGTTGAGAATGATGTTGAGGGCTCCAAAGATGAACAATTCATGTCAATCATCAACATACAGCAAAGTTTCACCATCAACAAGACGAGAGACAGGCTCCAGGTGAGCCTGCGAAAGGATCATCTTGAATGCTATTCCTTTGTCAATCTACCTCAATACGACCCGACTGATAGGCAAGGGCTTGCAGCGCGCGTGTGATGCGGAGTTGAAGGAAGTTGAGGACAAGGTCAAAGAGAGACTGCTCTGCGGTATCTGTTAACGGCGCTGAGGAGGCTGAAGCGGAGTTCGATGAACCGCCGTGGATTTCAGAATGTATGAAGTTGGAGAGACCCCGGCACGTGCTTCGGCCACTGCCCGATTTCCCAATGTGCGTCATTGAGGAATAGGTTGTTCGAAGTTGAGGTAAGCTCATGACTCAGGTATCAAATCCTCGCTGTGGTGATGGTTTCGCTGAGCCATTCATCTTTGGAGGTCCTGATCCTCGCCTTCGTCTTGCAAACCCCAGCTTCGTAGGCTAGGGTTAACCACGTGGAATCGGCTTCAACATCACAATTCAAGAGCTCTTACAAAAAGAACATATGAGTCCAACGAGCTCATAGATGAGACGGCCACTCTCTAGCAAAGCATGTATCTGATTGAGCAGAAACAGCGGCGGATGTTCTTCAAATAACAGAAGCAGCATAATGCAATGGGGGAGGAGAATTATCAAGATAATATTTGTCTCCTATCAGCCTACGGGTGGCACTCCACGTCGAAGCCTCCCGTTTCTTCCCCCCGAACTCAGCTTTCGCATCATCGAAGAGTCTGAAGAGACTTCCATCTGTCTATCGAGGTACCAGAGATTCCATATCACGATATCATGGCCTTCGCATAGAGGGACACTTGGCCAAGCAAGGATAGCGCAGCTGGGGCTTGTCTCAGCAACTTGGAAGAAGATGCAATTCTCTTCACACATATGAGGCGCCCTCACCGTTAAGAAGAGAGCGTCGAGCATAGACTTGACTTTGCAAATCTCAATGATCAGATCAGGCGGGCCAGTGATATTTCCTCAAAGGATATTAGTTGCTACTAGTGTCCATCCTCCAACTTAGTCGTCGCCAAGATCTGCACCTATAGTGAACATATCGCAGGAAGCCAACCCATGGCAGTATACACGAACCCATGTGGCGCAATCAAGCGAACCCTTACCTCATGAGCCCCCCAAACCCCAATCTCACTACGTATATGCGAGGAGTTGGCCCCCAGCGGGTGTTCAGATATTTCAAAGTTCCTTCACCCTTGAGCATTATGACCCTTCGCTGAGGCTTCTCCCTCAAATTGAGGAACAGACCCAGACCTATCACCAGGAACAAATGAGCGCCGGCTCCGGCTGGCCCTGAAACTATCGCCAGCCCCAGTCCGCCTCATTCCCTTCAACCTCAAAAGACGAGAGATTTGCAGCACTCGAAGTCCACAAAGCCTGAGTTGAGCTTCACCGAGAACGGAAGGCAGACAATAGCGGCAAGAATGCACCAAACCCGAGATGAGTGGGACAGGAGTGAGTTCGCCGCTATTGTCATAAACGAGGCAACGCTGGTCAAGGCGATCAAGGGGAGGAGTTTCTTCGCATTGTCGGAAAGCGCCTGAAGAAAGCTGTCGTGCTTTTTGCGAAGATGGCTGACAAGAACCAATTGAATCAGGATTCAAATGATACTTCTTTATGAGCTCAAGCAAGGTCTCTTGATATGGCCTCTTTGTTCAAGCTCACTGAAGCAGAAGTTGCTGAAAGAATTGGCGTGAGCGAACCACAGACAAAGACAAGGACAAGGAGGGGGAAGAGGGTCCTCTCTGCCCTCCCTCCTCGCCGAAGCTGCCATACAAAGCAGACTTTCGAAAACTGACAGACACATATCTATCGTGAGCTCTTCTGTAGAAGCAAGAATCAAAACTTCGCGGAATCACTGATTCCAGCGAACCCGGGGGAGACAGGGTGACGGTAGAAGAGAGAATCAAGATGCTTGGTAGAGACCCGGAATCGACCCCGAACGCTGAAAAATGCAGAGGCTGCCAGGAAGCATTTCAAGAACGAAGCATGCAGGCAATTTGCAACGGGACTGTCTATAGTAGTGTCACAGCCGTGATACTTGCTACTCATATGAAGGGTTTCAGAAGCACTTCGAGACTTGCGAGCGTGCACAGTGAGTCTGGAAGAGCAGCGCGTTGCCTACACTATCATCGACGCTGACATCGCCTCGCATGGCGGTTATTGGGGCGGCCCGATCTATCCAGGATACACCATGCACGGAACGCAAGATAATCATCCGCGTCTCCTCGGATCCCTCGTCAAATCCTTTGTGGCCCACCAAAGTCAACGCCCGGATCAGCCCTGCGATACTTGCTTGGCCAGCACGAACATTTAAGATGACTAACTCGGGCAACTCAGGGTTGGAGACCGACCGAACACGCCCAAACCAACGACGTATGTGTCCACCAAAACACCGTGAAGCTCACGGTCAACCGAGCCTACAACGCAGCGGTGCAACGAATTGCCTGCGCAGCCGACGTAGTGGCGCCCAAATCGGTAGTTAGCCTCCGAATACGCTTTACCAGTTACTATTAAGACCTGTCTGATGATAGGCATCATATATTGGTACTCGGTGCATCTGCGGGATATCACCTTGGCCTTCTGTGCGGCAGCTCAAGATAATGATAAGATCTCAGATAAACATATCTTCCGCCTCCAAAAGGCTTAAGAGCGATGGAGCTAGAGAAAAACAACTCGTCTCGAAAAGAAAGCTCATCATCGAAGAGGTCATGCACAAACAGAACGAATACAGTACTTTGAAATGCAAACATGACGAACATGAGAAACTGACGAACTATGAGATGATGTCGTAGTGGCTTCTTACCTCGTCGATGCACCGACTGGCGATGCCACTCCTGAACTCATCCCTCGTCTACTTACGCCTATCAAGCTCCATGAAGTTGCTTGTCGTGAGTCTTTACTTTGACTCTCATATTATTTCATCTTGTTTTGTTGCTGTCGTCATGGAGCTTTGTTTTTCCTCCAAAGTTACTGAGGCATGACAGATGAGAGTCAACAGCAAGACTGGGGTCACTTCATCGGCGTTGCACGAGAGAATGTGGTTGAGAAGCGGGAAAACCTGCTGTTTCTGTGCGCTGTTGCTCGGTACCAGAGGCCTGTCCCAACTACAGCACTACGAATGATCCGCAGTGTCTCCTTTATACAAAGACTGGAGACACCGGAAGCTATGGCTGCTGGTCATTGCGCGACTGTCGAAAAGAGCGACAACACCAGTAGAACCAAACTGTCTCTTTCACTTGCACCAAACCGCAACAGTCAGCAGCGGACTGATGATATATACGACGCCTCTGACCTCTCACAAGTGCGGGTTTTGTGAGGAATATGTACCCATGCTATTCCTCTCAACATGTACTTGAACATGTCACGAGTGTCTCCGAACATCGCCTCGCATGGCGGTGATTAGGGCGGAGGAGATGCTCACATGGCTCTCCTCATGTTACTACTGTCTCATGACTGAGAAGGATAGAGCCCTCAACTCACTCGACTCTGTGATTTTCTCAGTGTTTGGTTTCCCAGGCCATACGCGTGCCAACGTGAACTGGCCTGGCTTCAACTCTTCATCTGTGCCTTCTCGCGCATACTTGATACATGTCTCGAAAAGCGGCCCACACCTACAATGCTCAAGTCTTAGCTTTCTGTAGAGCCACAAACTTGTGCCGCTCAGATTCTTCGACGTGATGAAATTGGAAGTTCTGATGTGTCAGATACCAAGTTCTAGCTCCACTGCTCTTCAACCGATACTTGCTTCAAGAAGAGGCTTCGCGGGAAGAACCTTGCCTTGTTGTGTTCCAAAACACGCCGGAAGCCACAGTTCTTGTGGACCGACCATCCGTCGCCGAGTTCATCAGTGAGTATCTTCGGATGACTCGCAATCTTTGTCGTCTCAGTCGTGTGATGACAATGGCTTAAGTGGATGTCTAACGCCACCAACTTCCAGATCAAGAGGCCATGTTTCAATCTCAAATAAACAATAAACCGGAAACAAAGAGGCCAACGAATCATTATACCTAAGTTGTGAGCTAGATGTGTTATTTGCAGTTGAGACTCGTGGCTGAGAGCTCAATTCAGCCTGGACCGCGATGAGAAATGCAACCTCGGAGCGCGACGATGCCGAGGAAAAGCTCAAGGGCATTGCGAAGAACAAACGTGAACGCCAAATCGCAATTAAATGCGAAGAGCGAGAGGCCTTGTACCCCAAGGCGAAATGTTGGGATGGTCCTGACAAATGTGTTCCGTGCCTTGAAGAGGGACTCCTATATAGGGAGGTAAGTAAATGCTCTTTTTGACCAGTCTGTGATACTAATTATTGATTATAATAGTTCCTAAATATCCAGGATGAAAGTATACAGCGACTCATGCAGAGAGAACTTTGACAACAGGCCCAAGAGGGGGCCAGATGGATACTGCGAAATCAAACCACTCAACACCGCCCCCAGAGCCTACAAATAACCTGCCAGTCCCAGACACTCAGCAGCCAGCAAACGCGCCAGTCGATGGTTTAATACAATGCGAAAGATTTCTTAATTGAGTTCACTAGCATCTCGACACTATCTGTTCCTCAAAGCGACGGTTCAAACTTCATCTTTTACATCAAGCATCAAACATAATCATCTACTCATCATGGCTACGACCATTTCTATCGAGTCGCCGGTAGAAAGGGATCCTGACATCGAAGCTTGGGCTGGCTTTACTGAAGATGCCTGGTCTCACTTCCTTCAAGCCATCTTTGTCGCGCTCAAACTTCTCTGGTCAGGCGTTCAAGGAGTCTCGTCCACGTTCATGATGGACAATCTCGTACCACCAAGAGGATCCGGAAACTGAAGGAGAACCCAACCATCTTCCGACAGGAGCCTCGTATGAATATAGCGTCAACCAGAAGCCATTACCTATGGTTCTTGAGGTACCCATCAAGATGATCGAAGAGAGGTTTGCTGAAGGCGCAAGGTATTTCGGTGCTTAATAAAGACTCTACAGTATTCAAACATGAGATTTGTCTCTATGACCAGAGAAAAAGAGAGCATGGCTTTCTTTATGGGAGAGACGCCACATCGAGAAGATTACACAGCCCGCTTCCTCTCTACAGCATAACGAATCTCACTCGAAACTACATGAGAACACTCCCAAGGCGCTTTTCAACCAACTCTTACACCGCTCGTGCCTCTGGTAAGTAAGCCCATACGTATCGCTTCGATTCATCACTAATATTTCACTTGCAGGTGCGGCTGGGCTGAAGTCTTTGCCCTCTCCACTCATAGATCTCTCTGCCTTGAATCCTGAATTTTCAAGAATAAGCGACATGATGAGAGACATAGAGATCAAAGTTCTAATTGTGCAGAGCGTGAGGATGGTGAGAAATCGCCCCGAAGCGACAGTCTACTGGAAATGGCACGGCAGGTAACGATTCAGAAGTCAAGACAAGCTAACTAGTCATGGTAGGCAATGGCAAGCATGTCTTAGAGGCACATCAACAAATTCATTCATGGACTTGTCCGTAAGCGATGTATGACTGTATATGCCTTGCCAAGAAGATGGTAATGATACCTCAGTTGGCCCGAAAAGGAAGAAAACAATGAACTCTGACAACGCAGTTTCCAAGTGGTCTTCAACATGGAAACCATGGACAATGTTTTGCCTGGTTGAAATTTACATGCAGTCAACAATTCAACCTCCAAACACATCATTCCAAAATGCCTCCTAAGAGACGAGGCCCAAGCAGAAAACGATGGCGATCGCCGAATGTCAGTCATGTCCCGCGAACAACGCGGGCAGCACGCCTCAACAACGACGACCAAATCCCTTGCCAGATCCCTAAAGACAGCTACGAGTACCCGGAGTCCTAAGACATTCAACTGGTGGTTCGGACTGAACGGTATCCGAGTTCGGGCAGAGTCTGTTTGAGGGGGTGATTAGTTGCGCCTTATTGGATCTGTCTTTCTTTATTGACCAAGAAAACCTGGCAACCATCATGCCATTATAACAACTATCTACTCCCCTGGCGAAGGGCGAACAAAACAACAAAACGACAAAACGACAAAACGACAAAACGACAAAACGACAAAACGACAAAACGACAAAACGACAAAACGACAAAACGACAAAACGACAAAACCCACATCAGAACGGTGAAAATGTCTGATGTCTCAAACACGGGATACCATTGAGCATTGACTCTTGTTTCAAGCTTTTTCTCGAGCGCCTAAAGCAAACCCTCCGGCATACGATGAGTTAGAGAACCTCCGTTGCTGCTTTGACAATATTATGCTCCTGTGCTGGATGGCCGCGTAGGGGCTTTATATGTCTTGACCAAGCCAATTGACCCTAACAACAACTGAACCAAGCTGCATGCCGAACTACATGACATCTGGTTATCAACGACCGGTTTCCTTCCCCAAAAGCTGAAGACATCCGAGATTCACCTAAATCTCATCATGACTACAGCCTCTGCTCAGTAGCCCAACGTCAGTCAGGGCGCAGCTTACTTACAAGCTAAGCTAATGTTTTAGATCACAATTGGCCTGCAAGTTCGAGCTCGGAACGAACATCTTCATCATCTGCAGCTGGCCCCTCTGGTCACATCCGTCACCTCAGCGCAAGCCCCTGCTACAGCTCGGGGTTTCTATTCCTGCCATCCCCGCTATAGCAGAACTTAATCTGAGCAAAATAATGCTATACAACTATCTCGGCTTGGTTTATGGGGCGTGCAGCCAATACCCGAACCTGATCCTCCATCCGACTCTGATAAATAGTCGAACAATGCGACGCCTACCACCACGGGAATTCGTCTTTGTGGTGATGATATCTTTTCGGTGACAATATCTCGTGCGCCATAATTCACACTGAAGATGAGTCCATCTGAGTTCTTCAGCAATAGAGACAAGGACCATGCTTCTTAGGGAACATGAAAACAATACCGCGTCGCATGTCAACGACGACTTTGCAACCGCGATATATTTAACATTTCATCAGGGTAATCTCCGTACTGGCTGGATTACAATCAGTCATCCCAGCCAGAGAATAACATTGAAGAAACTCGTGTCTCAGGAGTTCCACACATGCTGAACCCTCTCCAGCCCCAGGGACAGTATAAGATGGCAGAATCCAGCAGATCTAGGATTACACAAAATATTTAGAGAAGAGTTGGCAGTGAGCGGAATTGTACTGATCGGTCTTATACTGTTCCCCTTCTATAAGAGGATGAAAGGAACGCTCCTTATGTGGAGATCCCGTCCCATGACGAGTATAATCAACGAGATCTGCGACGTGTAACGGGCATAGCATGTGGAACGCAGCAAGTCTTGTCGATCTGGCCTGACTACTGTTTGAGCAGATCGGCAAACTCTTGCTGAGAAAAAACAAAGGAAAAAAGGAAAAAAGGAAAAAAGGGGAGAAAATGGGGGAGGAAAAGGAAAAGGAAAAGAATGGGGGGGATGCTAGGCCAAGGGCAAAGTTGTCCTTGCTGGGGGCTGCCCACACAAGCTGTCCCTTGTTTAGCGCATTACAGACTTGCCACATTCCACTCCATTGGAGAGTTCATATCTAGCTACCATCATTTGGGCTACTGATTTGACTTCAACTTCGAATGTTTGTAACTCGGGGTGTTTAGCAGCAAGCCAGCTCAAAGAGAGCCTCAAGGAGCGCCAGTGTCAGACAACTAGCGGCAACTTGGAAGATGGCTCGGGCTACGAGCTTCCTCTACAGTTACATCCTCTATCCCTGAAAAACAGTCCCCAGGTCAATTTGACGGCTAGAGGGAGGCGCTGGAACGGAGTCGAGGCATCCTATGGGGCCAGGCCGCGCGGGATGCAGGACAAGGACAGGATCAAAGATTCTGTCAACTGCTTCTTATGGAAGAAGCGGTGACGTCGATGAAGATAGAGATCGACAGGATGCATCGAGAGAGTGCTTTTGAGCTTTATGAGTTCACCTTCTCGATTTATGTCAAGCTACACACCTGGGATTGTACCATCCCCTCGAAGGCTATGTCTTAGTTTCTTTCTTCGCTTGTCTACTGCAGTTTGACATGTTTTATGATATGCAAAGACTAACGGGAGCAAGTTCGAAGACGCGCCTACTGACGAACTTGACCGTCAGAGGTTCGAAATTGGATATTTTTCTGACAGCCTCGGCAAACTGGGCAACTTCGTCTACAAGTACAGTGCTCATCACAGGATCAGCCCACGAGCAATACATCTTGTCCTGAGATCAGGAATTGAAGAGACGCTGGAGACTTACTATAGTTTCGGCAGTATCATACAAGCGATCTGTATAGGCAGGGTTACCAACAGGCGAAAGGAGCCAGTTGGACTTCGGGTGAATGGAGAGAAGCAAAGTTGCTGATCTGAAAGTGCCCCTGCATGGCGCAGTCAACGTCATGCAACACCTCATGATTCTCTCCACACTCAGCATGTTGGTAACCTTCAACCTCGGGGCCAGACTCACCCGGGGGTAGGTGATTGTAATCCCCCCAGGGACACATGGTCAGAAGCCTACTGCAAGCAAGACCTTCTAAGCCATGACGGACACGATGGCTCCTCCAAGCGTCGGTTGTTATCTCTTAAATTCGACAAGATATTCATGCCTGCCTACATGAAACGTCACGGGTCTTCCCTGATCAGCGGGTCACCAATGTATGAACTCATGCCTTAGCAGATTCCTCAAGCCTTTTACTCTTATTCTGTTTATCACAAGGACCTCTGGAGACTTGCGATGTATACAGCCTGATCAGGGAAGAAACACCAGGCTGCACAAGCCCGCCCTCACTCTACAAGTACACAGTTTACCCGTCAAGATATGGTATTCGCGAAGGTTTATACTATCTGAAACTCGACAACAAGGCATCGAAAACTAAGGACGTGCAAAGTCTCTTACGAATGTTTGGAATCGGCGGACCTGGCGTTGACATATGGTTGGCTCTAACACGGCTGTCTGCGTGGGAGCCTTCACCAGGGACTTCCAGCAGAGGAGGTCTTTCGGCATAAGTGATCAACATCACTACAAAATCATTTCCAACTTCTAACCCTTTCTAATCTTCAAATACTCTCTTCAAGATGGCTGTGCCTACTATCACAGTCTCCCTTCCCAAAGCTACCCCTGGATCTCCCACGACCCGGGCTGTCACAACCCCCGTCGAATGGGATCGAAAGACTAAACCTTCAAGCACTGCCGCGTCAATATCAAACGACTGCAATCCTTGCAGGGATTAGACGACCAAGTGGGTTATCATCTACAGTATCATCAAGTCCGAGATCGCGGGCTTGGATGAGTTTGCAGAATCTGACGGAAATGCACCCACGACCAACAAGTTCCAAGATATTATCAACCCTCCGCCAAATGTACTGAACGTAACGCTGGCGGAAGACCATGGTGAACAAAGCCCAGCGGAACCCTCGGTCTCGATGGTTAGAGACCATCAAGACCAGAACTCCCGGCGCTACAACCAAGGATAGATGAATCTAGATCTACCGAAGTTCGAAAACAACTATGCAACCTTCAGCATACGTACAACTCGCACAACCTAATTTGCCTTCCACAAAAGCCTTTTGCAGCGATCAAGGCTATGCTTCGGAACAGCAAAAGAAAGAACAAAATGATAAGATCCGCGAAAGTAGAAAACAAAATTAACTACGGCCCTTCCGTTCACGTTCATTTATCTCAAAACAGTGTCTTCGCACACAAAACTGGATAAATACTACGTGTATGCGATTCTGGGACACATGACCCTCAGGAGTCAGTTTGAGACATAATTCCCAAACCCATGGGCTACGATCGGCCACAGGCACTCGAATTCAACATTTCGGAACTGGTCCTTGAAAGAGCTCCGCCACCAGACCAGCCGAGAGGAGTTGCGGATACAGAACCAGCTCAAGACGTACGTTCCAGATTACATCGAACCCGACAATGAATACGCCCCAGTCGACTATCTGGAAGCAACCAGCAAAGAGCTTGATCTTTCTGTTGCTAGTAGTTATCAAGAGAGGCTCGGGCTTGTTTCTGAGGATACTCCGAATATAGTCCACCAGATTCGGGTCTTTTCATAAATGAGCAACAAGTCTACCATCACAAGTCTTGCTGTAGATGACGACCTGATAACAGCAATACTACGGAGTCACGTACATGAGGGGAAGCAGGCAGCACTCTCTATCCCCAATGAAGTTGTCCCTCCTTGCAAAAACACCACCTGTCCCTACGACAGACTCCCCTTTGGCGCCCACGCCGAGGACGCCCCCTCAATCTGAGGTTACGACCATATGAATGAGCCAGCATGGGCGATGTGCTTAATCAGCTATTCACCAGTCCCCCAGGTGTATAAGCCCATCACTACTCTCCGGCACCAAGTCAAGGTGCAAAACAGGGAGGTTCATCACCTCGGGGAATAGAGCTAACAAATCTGCAGCCACGCAGACAATCTAATGGCTCTTCGCCTGTCAGCAGCTGCATATTGAAAACAGCAAGCTCGAGATGGAAATCCAAGGCTCAAAGAGGAGTCGTGCTCCAGGTTGGGCAGGCCGTGGAGTATCTGCATGAGAAACGACTCTTTCACACAGACATTAAGCCACGCAACATCGTAATTCGATCCTGTTCCCCAGTTGATGTTGTCCTCGGCGACTGTGCCGAAGGCAGAAATGCCATAACAAGGCGAAACCTTCTCCCTCGCCATTGGTGACGAACCCAGTGTACTGAGCATTTCCATCAACTTCGTTTCCAACAGTAAGTTACGCCACGCACAGCTACCAGAGCCTTTCTCCCCTTACTAACTGCTTCCCAGCGCAATAGAAACGAACTTCTCACCCCTTCCCCGTAAACTTCTGGTACCGCTTCCAGAACGTTGACGGAGACTGGGTCAGCAGACACCACTGTCAGCTCCCTGGATCTGCACAAAAATTATGCCACCCAAGAAATTGGTTTCACACGTTTTTCCACATTACATCCGCTTGTATCTGACCAAAAGACCAATGATGCGCGACAGTCGTATAAGGAAGAACAACTTGCCACTCCACATGCACCAAAAACTCGCTCATCTCCCGTCCTTATCTGCCTGCTGGTTTTCCATACCCCCTAGATGTGGTATACCCTCCTATGAGTAGATACCGTCTTACATCTATCTCTTTCTAAACACAACCTTTTAAAGATCAAAAGTTTACGGAAATCTTTTTGATGAATACATCACCGAGGAAGCCAACCAACGTCGCACCATGGAATCCTCACAATTCTATTGAGAAGCGGTTCAAGAAAACCGCTGAATCTGAAGTTCTCTTTGACTCATATTCTGAACCCATCCTTACGATGGATGCCACCGGGCATGTTACTGCGGGTTTCGATGTTTCAGAGCTCAGTGGCCCTGCCGCTCTTAATCAACACTTTGAGAATATCCGTATATTCTCATGGTCTTACAGGTTCATCTGATCCACTTGGAAGAGCTGATAAAGGCGAGAAGATGCAGTGAGATCGAGCGGGAGATTGTTGTGCTTCAGGAGAAGGCGCAGCAGAAATTCTATCGAGGACTGAATGGGATCATGCGGTCTGACTACAAGTACAAGATCAGCAGACTAGAGAAAGAACTTACTGGTCCATTGCGTGAATGAGCGGGATCCTTCATCTCGCTTTACGTCCGCGGTTGATTTTGGTGTTGGTGTTGATGCTTAACAGACCCGGACAGATGATCCATGTGGCAGGAAGAAACACAAACGACTCAACCAAGGGAATTGACACCTTTTTGGCCTGGTTGACATGCCGAGATCCATTACACGTCCATGACTTCAGCCGCCCATCCGAAGAAGGCCGTGCTCCGATTGCCCTGCCTTCCAAAGACACCAAAAGGAAAGGGCAGTTTGACTGAAGAAAGTACGGGAAAACCCCGTGTGATTATTGATCAAAATCAGCTGGATTGATACCCTCGGACTCGATCACACGATCAACATCAAACCCCCATGTCGAATGATATATTCCGCGACATATACATAACTACCCAGCATGCCAGTGACGAAAGACGGCCGCCACGGAGCTGGGTTTGATGGAATCGACGGACATAACGAACCCCCATCATGGGACGTTACGACTGACTTCCAGACTGATGGCATCGTTGAGGCTGAAGCGTGGCTTGCACGACAAAAGGAGTCTCACAGATGTCGAGATCAAAGATGCTGGCTCAATCATCAAGACAGACACCAAGGTTCGTCTTGATAAGGGTGTCGCAGAATTGGAGAGTCATGATCCAGGCTGTGAGAGATATCGCGCCAGAAGAGCCTGGTCTTTGAGACCCCATTGGACTAACCTCGTCCGATTATCTTGTACCGGCCTTTTGTTCTAACCATATTGGAACTGCAAAGGAATCATGTCTCGTAGAGCATGCGCATACTATTTCTGAGGCACGAGGAAGGACGGCATACTCCAAACATGACCTGGAGTACGGTTGACTATGGTGCTGAGGGATGCATGCATCCAAAGTATTCTCCAAGCCAACACTCGCAGCGACTAAAACATCCTTTTTTCTTGGATCGCACAAGATTGACATGTCGTCTCCTTCAAGAAAGACAGATACTCAGAAAATGCTTCGACAAACCAAAAGGGTAGACCATTAAGCCCCTTTGACAATTAAAAAGGGGGCAATCATATTTTGCCTCCTGATAGACACTACCGACTCCGAAGTCATAATCCCAACACTAGAATCCAGATTCGATCAAGTCATACGATCTCCTGTAGGCAATAGAGCCTTCTCTAAGACCTTTCTCCGAACAATTTTCCTCTCTCAATCGCGATATCCCCTCCGGCACTTCACTCTTCGTCACCTGAAAGACGCCACGTACAGAGGACAGGCGTACAATTAATTTGCAACTCGCTATTGTAGGACTGGATTTCGGGACTATGGGGATCATCCAGGAGTCTCATGGCCGATCTAATGGCCAGTCTCTTGATCTTTTGACTCTTGGCAAAGAACTGATGGTATAACGCCGATTGAGGGATCTGAGAGCTCGCGATTCATTCTCGCGGCTGGATGATATCATGACGCGTCTAAATCTACCGGAGCGCTACGACAGACATCGATAGACAGACTGTCATATCCTGTGACTGTGGCTCGCTTTTCGTCAGGTGCTGAACCACGTCTGCTTCAGAGTACCTGGATCTCAGTCAAGAAATCAAGCCTCAAGACCAGCATCACAGTTTGCATCATGCATGAGGCAATTCGAGCTACATCCTCAACTTCACCAAGGCTTGAATTGAAAAGCCTCGTCAAGATTTACCAAACCTTCAACCATTAATTACACGAGCCATCTCAACTAAAAACTGATATCTACATATAAATAGATACTTGGAAACAGGAATAAATAGAGGAGAGTTAATGGGGTACTAATTAGTTAATGAGACATAGCATAAAATGCAAAGAAATCTCATACTCATGTCTCCCTTGGTGACTGTTGTGAATAGAGTCTTACTCTGGGCTCGTCTCATTCCAGCGGGTGCTGGCTACTTGTACTACCCTGCACCCATAGAGTTCATCCAATAAGAAGGCGCAGTGGCAGAGTGGTCTAATGCGATAGACTAGAAATCTATTCTCCTCGGAGGCGTCTGTTCGAATCAGGCCTGCGTCGATTGGTATTTTTTGTCGTTTGCCTCTTGTTGTCTCGAACATTCTTTTTTTATTAGGTCATATTGATTGACAACAGCTTGGATTGATTTGATGCAAATCAAGGTTCGGATGATATTGATATATATGAGCTTTACTTCTGCAGTTGACATACTCATTATTCCAACTAATGCACATCCAGTAAAAGGTTTCTCTGTCCGGATAGCTAAAATTCATAACATCCTTAGACTGGTAGTAAGACGGAGTAAAACATTCGCCGCGTCTCATAGGACGGAGGCTTACTCCTGTTGAAAGCATCCGAACGTAAGCCCATCTCCAGCAATAGGACATCACACAAGCTACCGTATATAAGTTAGCTCAGTTGACAAATCTCATACCACGGAGCATTTCGTCAGAAATTAGTTTCCTGTGAGAGTTGTAGTTCATTTTATAAAGCCTCCGGTTTTCCTCAACTGCTGTTTCGTGACTTCATGGATTTCTCATATAAATTGGCATTCTTCCTCTAAGGATGTTACGCACCAAGTCAAGAAGACTTGTTGCGCAGTGATTATCATGGCTTCTGCAGAAATGAAAGATACTGCCTCACCTTACAAGGTGGAAGCATCTAACCAGATACTCTCATCGCCACCCTCCGTCAACTCGTCAGACCAGACGAAAACAGCCCAAGAAGATGAAGAAGCTCAAGTACCGGTGACTGCAAAGACAAAGCCGGCTTTCAATAGAGATTATCGCTTCTGGATGATCGTGGTTACTTTAGTCCTGGCAACACTCCTTGCATCTCTCGAAGCAACAGTCGTCATAACTTCTCTTCCAACCATCGTCGAGAGTCTCAATCTTGGGAGTAGTTACATATGGGTTACCAAT